TTGACTGGGAGTTAGAAGGAGAGGGCTCTTTCTTACTCCCTGTTTTTTGGTGATCCTGGTGTGTGCATCAAGTGGGCCAGATAATGCTGTGACGTAAGCAGACCGATTCGCCGACCCTTTCAACCACTGTGTCCGCTCCACATCACACAACGCTCAGGCTCAGACGGTGGCCTGATGCTGGAGTGGGGACGCAGGGGGGGGGAGGAGTCGACGGCTCAGCACAGGTTCCTCACTAGAAGCAACCTGACGCGCCTGAAGTTATCAAAATGCGCTAAAAATCGTGGCTTGGAAGGTTGCCAACTTGGATCGCGCTGTCAGCCCAGTGTGTGTTTGTGTGGAATGCCTTACTGAAGGACTAAGAGTCAGGTTGCAATGGCTCCTTCTTAATGTGCCCTTTATAGCAATCCCACGCTGGTGCGCTCCGAGCGAAGTATGGCAGAACGCCTCGCGGCGACTCTAACCGTGCTCGCCACCGGCACTCTCTCCGGTCTTTCTGACTCTGTCTTCATACCGGACCTAGGGGGGAGAGTGGAAGAGAGAGAAAGGTAGGTGCAGCGCAGGTATACCCTCACTATTATCCAGCGCACCACCCTGCTGTGGTGTACACGGTGGAAATTGTGAAAACCGACGATTAACCTGTCGTTGAGGGCACGTATAGTGGTAGGGTTTGACCACCATTGATTTGCCATAGGAGGTAGACTGCTAGGTAGACTTTTTGGTAAATGACCTTTTTTGTTTTTTTCCTGTCGCAGACTCATGCTCGTTATGACATCGACCATAAAGATGACATCGTCGAAGGTCATCGCCTTGCCCAAGCGATGGAATTGATGGAGTTTGTACGCGCAACGGCAGGCAGCGCAGATGCGATATTCATTGGTGGCGACTTGAACCTGGAGCCATATACAACGGCTCTGAATTTGCTGAAGCGTTCGCTCGATTTAAAAGACGCCTGGCTTGACCAGGTAAGTCAGTTTCATATTTCCTCGCCATTACTCGTTAAGTATGTTTGGTTTCTGGCCTCAAAACCTAATAGCAAACATATTATTCTAACTTTCGCCAATCCATAATACCTGGTTTCCCCGAGGCTTCTTAACTGGATCAATGTTAAAATATTCGCTTACGTTTGTAGATTCTCTGTATTTTGATTAAAAGTTTCAACCTCCTTTTCAGTTTATTTATTATTGCTGAAATGCAGAGGCAGACTTACGCTTACGGTTGTTCATCATCAGGCATCTACGAGAATATAAGGGAGGGCAGAATTGCAAACTTTTAAACAGCCAATAAACACTGGAGGAGAAGGCTGAAGGCGTTCAGTTGTCAGGGGTTACAATCTAGTTTTGTCTGGGGCTTAGGAGGCGGGTGGGGCGGGGGGAGGAGGACAGGAAAGGAGGCGT